ATTTATAGCCATTGAAGCCATATCTTTTAATTCTTCATCCAATCTCCCCATGAATCTCTATCAATTAATAAATCAAGATTGATTTGTTTCCTCTTTTATTCAAAATCTATAATTCTATATCATTTAACAAATCAAATCAAATCTTGGGCTGATTGGGTTCGTGTTGGGCACTCAAGCGCGCTACAGGGTGCTTGAGCGCGCTCTTGTGCACAAAATTCCTGAAGTTGTCTGCCCACACGCGCTCGAGCGGCCAACTGGGCGCTCGAGCGTGCTCCTCGATGGTGAATTCTTGTAGTCTTGGCACTTGAGCGCCCTGGATTGCTCAATTTAGCTGATTTTCCTGTCTATACGCGCTCGAGCGTCCATTCTGTGCGCTTGAGCGTGCTATTTTGGCCCTTGACTTGTATTATTTTGGCTTCCTTTGGTACATATTGAGCTACAACTCTTTGTCATGATTTCTTCATCACTCTTTAGCACCAACAGATGTGGTTTTACCTTCAAAATGTAAAGAAAATCAAAACGTTAGCTCAATTTCCTAACTTATGGTTTATACGCTGTTAAACCTTGAATTCCATGCAATTTATGATATATTTCTCATATAATTTAGCCTAACAACATGGTAAACCAAAGGTTTATCATGCTCCATGCTAAAATAGTTATTGCTCTATTTCTTTCATCATTAAAGAATATATTTCCACTTATATAAATATCTCCTTCTGTTATTGAAGTCGTATCTTACATTTATTATATTTATGAATTGTTACACTACCAAAAAATTGCATCTATTATAGTGAGATACTTCACCATATCAAGTGGAAAAAAATATAAGTTCCTCACTTAATAGTTCAATGGTATACAAACTTGTGTTATGCAATTTTTAAAATTTATATTTAATAAGAAAAAGTGACAATTTTTTTTTTTATGGTTATGAGTTATGACCTAAATCTCTTTAAAAACATAACAATTTGGTCGGTATAGCCATTATCAGTGATAAGTTTAAAGTTTTAAACTTAATACTTCATAAAAATTAATCAAATCCCTCACCACTAGACCAATTCTTATAGCTTGAAAAACAACATGAACTCTTGGTTTGAAGTTTTAAACATATAATAACTTTATATAATTAGTCAAATTCGTCACCACTAAATCAATTCTAATAGCTTGAAAAATAAAAACTATTGGCACTAACCTTCTTTTAATTTGCTATTTGACTAAAACAAATAACAGGAAACTGATTTATAGTTCTCTTGTTCATCAGAGAATCTAACAAATCATATAGATTGACATACAAACTTTTATCGTTCTTATAATCTTATCCGACTCAAATCAAATTAGTCAAATAATTGATAAAATATTAAAAAAATTTAAAAAATATCCTATACTATAAATTAATTATAATTTTAAGAATTCATTAAAAAAATTAAATTAACCGTTAAATCAATTTTATTTGCTAGCATCAAATTATAATAACTGTTACAGATATCAAATGAATTAAAAATATCACAAATGTGCTACATTTTTTTTTCATGATTTTATTGCCAAATAAAAAAATAAATTAAACATAATTACCAAAAAAATAAAAATACATTAAACACAATATGTTATAAAGATTTGAAAATTATCGCATCAATTCCATAGAACGGGCGGGTTACTAATAACACATCAATCTCAAACACGTTATATAAAATAAGTTTGGTCTAAAGCTTTTGGAAAATTTCAAGAGATTTAAGTCTAAGGCAGAAAAGTATCTAGGTATTCAAATTTAAACATTTTGGTCTGACTGAAGTGTTGGATACTTGTCTGGTAAGTTCAGGTCTTACCTGATTTAAAAAGGAATAATTTTCACAACTGTCAACTCTAGGAACGCGTTAGTTGAACGAATTTGTAATATGCACAAATCAAATATTTCTAGACTTTGTGAAGTTCATATTCAATCATTCATCTATAGAATTGTTGAAAGGGTGCAAACTCAGTTCAAACCATATTCAAATTTAGGGTGCTCTAGCACATGTCTTACAACAACGGTCAAATAAGATGGAATCTTGTATGGAAGTATGTGTAACAGCTCGTTTCCACACACAGAGCGTTACACAATTTATGGTATAAATGCGCACTTAATTTGATATAAATAGCAGAAGACTTCTATAAGTATCACAATAGCTTTCTTTTAACTATGTGACTAATTAAAACTTTTCCTTTATGTTAGCAACATGATAATAAATTATACAGTTTCATAATTGCATAGAACCAAAACTTAACTACAAAATGATGGAAGCTACCATTTTTAATACAAACGGACAGGATAATCTTTGCTTATCGGACTATCTAAATTCTTAAACCTATAATCCAGACATACACAATATATTCATATCCATAGCTTCAGAATCTATCTATAAATTCCTACTTACTTTCAGTACAACTTAAAACATACAGACATACTTTGTTGTACGTAACATATCAAAATATTTAACTACATATCCTCATCAATTATATATAGATGTACCAACTACATCTATATTTTGATTTACATATTATATCCAAAATATAAATATACATGTGTCGTCCAAAGAAACACCTGAAATGTGTCCCCATAATGCGGAGTAAGATATAAATCTTGTAAACTCAGTTTATGGAGCAGTCTCCACCCTCGAGTTCAATTCCTACTTAATTGGTCAACACATATAGCATAGCGGAAACATACAATTTACATACAGCAAACATCACATACATATAACATACGTAATCTTAAGCATGTAATTCTAATTGAGCTACTTCCTAAGTTCATGTACACGAAATTATTATAATTCATTAAAGTAACGAACCGCATATAAATCAATTAATACAATCATTCACATCAAGAATATAATCATAAGTTCTACGCTCAAATAACTTTATACATTACTCTTAATTTTTACAGCTTATTTACTATTCTTAATTCCCGATCACCAAATCTTTACGAAAATTATCTCAAAATTCAAATGCTACAGTTCTTACGGAAGCTCTCTCATATCTTCCGCTAACCTGATACTCCCGAAGTAATACCTCCAAACATCATAGCATTATTCATTATCCTCGTATTAAGTTATCAAGTCTCTTTTAATCAATTACTGATAACTACAAATAATAAACATCAATCAGACACCATTTATATTAAACATCACGAAACCTACAATCAGTACAGAACCGACACCCAGTAGAACATCTCAAATAACATTAATAATCACACAAATATAATTATTAAACACAGCAAACAATTCAAACAGAACAAATACAGAATATAAATATATTAATATTCAACTTTGTCCATGGAATTTAACTATCTTGAATATGAGTGTCGGTGTTGGTAGTGTGGGTCTGATATCAACAACTCAATACTTAAATTTCATGGTCTAGGTTGAATCTTAAAACTTATGGGAGAAAATAAAATATAGGAAAGAGAAGCACAAGGCCAAGGTAGCAACACTTAGAATATTGATAAGAGTGCTTAAACATCATTGTCATTAAAGAAAACTGATGAGTGTGTGAAGTCTACGGAAGCCATCATTAATGCAGGGTTAAATGCAAAAGGAGATAGACAATAAGATGGAAATCGATCCTCTCATGTTTAAAAAAACATGATATGATCATATGGAAAGATCACAACCATATAAAGGTAAATCAACGGTTATGATTTTCTAATTACATATTTCAAAAAAAAAATTATCTCTTTCTTTATCACCATTGATCTATCTTTGTATGGTTATGATTCTCCGAATGACCATGTCATCTTTTTTTAACATGAGAGTATCTGGATGACTGGATCCCAATCAGATAGTGGTTGATAAAGGTATTATAGAATCTCAAGATGAGAACAAGCTTGTGCGGAAAAGCTAATACATGGAAGGTTGGGAGAATAAGAGTGGAACAGAAACAGGGTCACACACAAACATAAGAGGAGCAATACTGTTGTTGTCTTCCAAAGTCATCATGTGTGCATTGCTCTGTTTGCAAGCACTTCAGATTGCAAGCAGTTCAGATTGAGCATCTTGCTTTGTTTCACTTGAAGCCCAAGGCTTAATCTCCCTTATTCTCACTAAAATTAAAAAATATTTTGTGAGTAATTTTTATGTTTTCATTACTCTATATAAAAGGGCTAACGTTGACAAAATAAAAGAATAACATTGACAAATCAGAATGCATGATCCCTAATATGACTGGATGCAATTGTTATCCCTAATACTCACCCTCGAGTTCGAGTTGGAGCATGGAAGTAACAATTGCTCAAAATCAAATTGTTTCTTGTCCAATGCCATAGGAATATATTAGCCATGTAAAAATACTGAATAAAAGGTTGAAGTTATGGATCAATGATATCATGTGTCCAACCATTGATCATTGAATTTCACACCACCCAACCATATCCCTCATCAGCATTATCATTGAATTGCACAACACGACATTCATAAAGAAGATCCCTGGATTGTTTGATACAGGGTGTCAAAACGGGTTGACACGACACTAATACATTAACACGAATTTTTATTCTTGTCAAAATCTTCAACACTAACACGACACGAATTTTTTGCGAGTTGACACGACATGACATGAATAACAAGCAAAATAGGGATCAAAACGGTAATTGACAAAAGAAAATTTTTAAAAATGGGTCGAAATTAAAAAAATAAGAATAAAAAAATAATTAAAAAATATGGATCAACACGAACACGACACAAATTTTTTACGTGTCATTTTTTTCAACTCGACACGATTTTTTTTGCTGATCAACCCAAACACGAATTTTCGTGTCGTGTCGCAGGTCAACCCACGTGTCATGACCTATATTGACACCACTAATTTCATGAATGGACCTAGAAAGGGGAACGAAGATATGACTCTCAGATTTTTAATACCGTTACCATCCTTAGCCACGGTGACAATTGAACAAAACGTTCACTCATTTGACATAATATTAATCACATTAACAGTTTGTGTTGGAAAAAAAAATCCAAAGTAAATGAGATCAAATAGTACGCAAGTTGATATTATTACATGATATGTGCCAAGAAAGTATCAACTTAGTATTTGATTGCAACCAACTTGTATAGTTTCATGAAATCATGTCTCTACTCAGCAAGTAACATAAAAGCTAAGCACTCGCTAGAGAATCAAAGTTGTCCAATGAAAGGAACAGATGATGCATAAAGCTGGAAAATTCAACCAAGTCCAGCTATATAAAAGCCTTAGTTCAATCAAGCTAGTGTTGCAATCAGTAATTAGAAGACCAGTTAGCAGCACTCCCAACTCTTGGCATGCCAGTTGTTTCCTTCTTAGATTCAGCATCCACCTTGAAAGTTGCACCACACACCTCACCAGAACTGTCAACCCTTGGTACAGGCTTCAACTCATTTAGGGGATGCTCAAAACTCCTCAAACCTCCAGATGTTGTAAAGAAGCACCCTAAACATGTTTAAATATAAATGTTACTTCTGGAAGGAAACCATTTGAGCCAAATAATTTGAAAACACACGTAAAATATGTAAGAAACATTGATAGTGGACAATCAATGCAGAGCGTGAGGAACACGACATCAGCAGAATAATTTCGTAGGAAGCACTGGAAATTTGATAATAGAGTTTGCTGAGAACAAGAAAATTTGATTTGTTGCACATCTTACACAGAAATGATGTCAATGTCCCCCACATTTCCCATTTCTAAGCTATCAAAATCATTGCTCCTCACTTCATTCCTAGTCTCGTTTAATATACTTTTTGGGCTTTTGCTCACATAATAGTTTCTAAAAGTGAGGTCTAAAGACATGTTCAACACAGGAGCATAGGGATTCATCTATCTTAGCACATTTTATGGGGTAACTAAATCATGTTATTACCTTTAGGGAATGGTGCAGAAGATTTTCCACAGCTCTTAGTTACAACCTGTATCTCATCTGAAAGAACAAGATTTCCATCAGCATCAGTTCCCCAGAAGAAGGGAACACTCCCATCACAATCCTGAAAAGGACCAGGATATGTATCACAGGTTAGAACAGCAAATTATTGGCAAATACATCAAAGAAGACAAAGATAGGCCCAAGGATTACTCACAGCAGCAGCAAATGCAGTTTTAGAACCACTATCAAACAGGATAAATGCAAATTTGCCTTGGAAATCTTTCACAACCTGATCAGCAGGATAGGGACCGCGATCTCTTAGAGTCCTGTAAGCCTCTATGATAATGATCACCTCATTTGCTGCTTTGTTCAATCCATATTGTTGCTTAAGATTAGCAACATTCTCAATGTGGCCTTGAAACAAGCAGAAGATGTCATCCACAACTGCAAACAGCCTAGCAACATGACAAGAAAAATAAATGTCATTTTTTTTAACAAATTTATGTAATCATCTTTTATAGAATCACTTTTCAATGATCTGATTCAAAAAAGAAAAAGAAAAAGAAACATTTGTCTGAAATGCTGATTTTGGTAAAAACAGTATTTGACAATAGATTGAAAAGAAAATAGAGGATAAGATTAGGTGCAATATTATAACGAAAATACTATGCAAGCTTTTTTATAAGTAGAGACTTAACCTTGTTATGTGAATGTTTTCAATCTCATTCTATTACAGTAACAAGAAGAAACAGAAAAAGATGAAAGGCCATGGTAGAAAGATTAACAAATGACTCTGCAGAAGATTACACATTACATATGCTGACAATTGAAAAAGATAAGACAAATCAATATAAACAAGACAAATGGTTCTCTAACCGAAAAAGCATAATATATGGAACCATATGCATGCTAACAAGCATAACCCAAAATACTATCCACAAGGAAAAGGACAAAACTATATTTAGAATAAAAGTATCCATATCTTAATCAAACACTTTATGCAGTGGCAGTTCCGAAAACTTCCATTATTATCATAAAACTGGACAATCCCTTAGGATTGGTCAAGGAAAGTTCTAATAAAGTTCAGACAGAGTGATTGTGAAGAAAATGTATTCCGGAAATAGTACCAACTACAATCCAGACAAAAAATTTCCGTTCACCATGAATCAGATTTCAACAATAAGATGCCAAGATCTATAAAAGTATCAACTACACAACATAACCCCTTATTCCAACAAGTTTGAAGTTCAAAATTAAGCCAAATAAAACCATAGAAACAAAAACAAAAAATAAAATCAGCAACCTAGGTTCCAATCAAAATAGTACAAAGACAGTGATGCAGTGGTCAAACAAACACGCAAGGGATCAAACGGGAGGAAAGAAAACTTGGGGTTTATCCGAAAGGTTCCAACTTTGATCTCTTCAAAGGTACCCAGATTGGAAAAAGAAAAAGAAAAAAGATTGAAGTAACAAATCTTATAATGTCAACAACATAGAAGAAGAACAATGAATCCATTTTCATATATATTGGGGGGGGGGGGAAATAAAAAAGAAAGATGAGAAATATAGAGAAAATGGTATTGCACCTTGGGAGCAGTGGATTACGTTTATCAAGAGAATAGGCCAATAGACCCGAAGAGGCAAGGTTAATGGTAACGGAAGCAGGGTGAACAGAGGCAAAATGTTGAGCCAAAAATGCATCTTTGAGTGCTGAAACAGAGTTTGATTGAGGGCTCTGAAGACCCTCTGGACTCTTGGCTACAGATTTGTCAAAAACTGCAAGCATTTTGTGTGTTTGTGTGGATCGTTTATTGTTGTTGAGTTGAATGGAACCTCAAAGAAGCAAAGAAGACTTTTTAAGTTGTAGTTTTTTTTTTTTTTTTTTGGAACTGTAATAAAGGTTAATTGTAGGGTGTAACTGTAAAATGATAACGAAGGTGTATGTATAGTCAATAGTGACGATGTTAAAAGGAAGGTTTTATGAGGTGGTTAAGGTTCTTTATGCCATTATCCAAAAAAATAAAATAAAAAAAGGTTCTTTAGGCAATTGAACGTGGATCTCCACCAACCTCCATGCCCTTCCTTTTCGGAAATATTTTAAGAAATAGGTGCTGCACAAGTTGAATTTTGAAGGGGAAAAAAATAATTTTGGAAATGTATTCTCTCATTGTTATATTATTCAATTATTCATTCATTTAGAAACGGAGGATTAATTTCCATATATTTTAATTATAAGTACTGTTAAATTTTTCTCATTTTGATTATCTAAGAAGAAAGGGGGAAAATATAATTTATAGACATTCACATTCATGGGTGTAAATAGGTTAGATTTTGGTATAAATAAATTAAGTTTATTGTCTATTAAATTTAGAGGTAGAGTATATTTACAACCTCTTTTGTCTTACAATCATTTTTTTTATGGTTAGATCAAAATTAAATCAATGATTCTTACTTGATAATATTTTGTAATCCTTGATTTTTATTTTTATTTTAGTACAAATAATCTTTGATTTGATTTTAATTCAATAATAACAAAATTGATTATAAAAGATTATAAGGTAAATGGATTGTAAATATAATCACCTTTAAGTGGCAAAAAATTTTATTTATTACAATTTAATTAAATAATTACACATTTATTGCAGTTTTGGAAATAATTGCAGATCTATTGCACAATGTGACGCCTTTTTTGGGCGTCACATGTGACGCCTCATTTAGGCGTCTCTCACCAAGGGAAGACGCCCCAATGGGGCGTCTCTCGTGAGGTGTTGACACGTGTCATTTCTCTCTAAAAAAATAATAATAATTTAAACATAAAACTTTTGAAGGCCATAACTTTTGACTCGGGTATCCAATTCAGGTAATTCTTTTTTTAATTCCACATAACTTTTCGAGATCTACGCAATGACATCTCATTTGATATATTTTATTTCTCACTAACATAATTTAAATTTGCAAGAATGGTATTATAAGAGTGTTTAAATCCACAAGCCTCTGAGTACTAGATTTGTGATTTAATATAAAAAATAAAGATTTAGTTTGTGATTTAAATTTAAAAAAAATCACATTTTTTAATTTTTTATATTAAAAATAAATAAAGTTTTGGTTTGTGATTTAAATTTAAAAAAATCTAAAAAATTATCATTAATAAGAAAAACAAAATAAAGATTTGATTTGTGACTTAAACTCAAAAATCAATTTGAAAAATCTGTATAATAAAAAAAATTAAATAAATATTATAAATCCTTAAGTAAGAAGGATTTTATTTTTGAAAATCATTCAGAAGCTATAATTTAAATGGCTTTAAAGAAAAAAGTCATAAAATAGAAGGATGTAACTTATGATACCGTATGATTCAAGATACGAAAAATCAACGAAACGATACACAATACGAATTTCGGTTCAATAACATTGTACACTATTTTTTTTTCAAACACTTGGTTTTGGTGTGTTTGGTGTTGATTCGGAAAGAACTAAGAGACTTTTAGGTTTAAACGCTCGTATAGTACCATTCTTGCAAATTTAAATTATGTTTGTGAGAAATAAAATATATCAAATGAGATGTCATTACGTAGATCTCAAACAGTTATGTGGAATCAAAAAAAGAATTACCTAAATTGGATACCCGAGTCAAAAGTTATGGTATTCAGAAGTTTTATGATTAAATTATTTTTTTTTTTTGAGGTGTCAACACCTCATGAGAGACGCCCCATTGGGGCGTCTTCCCTTGGTGAGAGACGCCTAAATGAGGCGTCACATGTGACGCCCAAAAAAGGCGTCACATTGTGCAATAGATCTGTAAATACTCCCCAAATTATAATAAATGCGTAATTATTTAATTAAATTACAATAAATAAATTTTTTTCCCCTTTAAGTTTATGTCTAGAATGTAAGATGGAGGATTCGTCTAATCTATTTTTATAAAATAAATATTTTTGGTATCTAATTAATATTATGACGCTGTAAAGTTCATAAACAATGAAATTGATTCAAATCCTATGTTAGTATCTCATTTTTAGCTTTTATATTTAAATAGTCTAATTGCATTTTAAAAGCAAGCTTACGGATAAAAGGATGTTTGATTATATATTTACTATGTAATAATAATTTAGAAAAAAACATGCAATAGTGATAGTAATTCTATAAAACATTAATAAAAGAAAATAGAAGTTCAATTTATTACCCCCTTTTTTTTGTGAAAGAAAAGGCTTAACAGCCCAGAAAACAACTAAACAAAATGAACATTCCTAATGCTAGTAAAAGCATAAACATCAGCAAAAAATAAACAGCTAAGCCCAGGAGGAACATGACTAAACTCCTTATAGACAGAGGTCTGAGTAAGGCATATCAAATGATTGGCTAACCAATCTGCACACTGATTTCCTTCACGGTGAATGTGTTGAGCCTTGAGGTCCCAGTCTTTGTTCATCCAAGTCCGAATACGAGTAACAATATGCGACTCTCGGACAACATTACCTTTGTTGGTAAGCAACGTGCTCACCGAAGTAGAGTCACTTTCAATTATAAGTTTCCTAAACCCTTTCTTCCATGCAAATTCCAATCCTTTCAGAATACCCCATAGTTCCGCCGTAAAAGTTGATGCAACGCCCACATGATAAGCAAAACCCCCCGGCCATTGGTCGTCTGAACCTCTACATAATCCCCCACAAGCTGCTACTCCTGGAGATCCTTTGGCTGCACCATCTGTATTTAGTTTAACCCGGCCTTGATTAGGTAGCTGCCATGCTATTTGCAACTGAACTAACATGCCAACCTTTTTTCTATTGCCATTATCACCGAATGCTTTTTTTATATCCATAGCCATACGATGCACCTTCCCCACGATAAGATTTTCACTACACCCATTCTTCCCATGATAAACAACGTTCCTCTCATTCCATAACTCCAGTAGGTTAACATAAATATTGTTCCCAAGTTTAGGCTAATTGGTCCCCTCCTATCATTACTTATGTTGACAGACACCCAATCCACCCAATTTATTTCATAAAAAACAGCTTGTCGCGTACTTGTTAGCATTTCATCCCACACTCTAATAAAAATTATTACCTTTAATTCAACATTTGGTGTACTTTAGTTCTAAATTTAAAAAATTATTACATAATTCTAAGGTTATTTGATTTTCATCAAACTCTAATAAAAAATAATCTCACTCAAACCATGTTTTTAAAATTTAAAAAACTATAAGTATACATAAATATTTTTTGGTAACCCAAGTATACATAAAACTAAATTAAAAGGGACAAATTAAAACATTTTGTATTAATCCAATTATTATTATTATTTTAAATTAAATGAACATAGACATTATTTGGGTACATATTCAGCTGATGCAAATTTTAGATTGAAAACAAGAATGCTTGAAACAGTCAAGTAGTTTGTGTATTAATGAGTTTTTGGTATGGAAGAACTGCAAAAAGTGTATGAGTTTGAACTCTGGAAGCATCCTTAAATCCAGGAAAATATTTTCACTGCTATTGGAATATTGAACATTCAGTGTATCATTTATCCAATATAAAAAAATAATAATAATAACACATTTATAATATTCCTGACTTCTTAATTATTTCCTCTCATTTTTTTTTCTTTTTTAGCAAGGTAGGTAGGTACTGCAAATAGATAAAGTCAGAGTTGAATAATTGTTAGGAATCAGGTTGTGGTCACACCGGGCTTCTGTCTCACCACAAAGTCAAATAGATAGTTAGCTGATAAAATAAAATAAAAAATAAAAATTGGTTGGTGTTATTAGGATAGATGGGACCCATTGTGTCTTTTGTCAACTTTAAATATTTTAAGTGCTTCTCTGTAAGGTATTGAATTGACACTTGATGATCTCATGTTCATTCAGTAACAGCAAAGCTCTTGAGCGTAGAAAATGGTGCATGTCCCAAGAGTTAAACTGGGTAATCAAGGCTTAGAGGTAAGCCTCCTTGATCATAACATTCCATCAACTGAAGAGATTGGTGGGGTGTTCGATGTTTCATTATTAACTAGCTAGTTTTATGCTTGAAGCAGTTCATCATCTGAAGCTGTTGTTGTTCATAGTGGACAACTTCAGTTAAGCTTCATCAACCATATGTTTAGTTCCATCCATTATCATCAAAGCTATTTGTTTTTTGCTTCTTGTAGCCAATCTCTGCAGCTGACCACTTCTGTTGAAGGAAGGGTCTCTGTATTCGTTATAATCAACTCTATTAACTTTGCATTAAAAAAATATGATTCTGATCATGTTCATGGTCATAGATATAATTTTTGAATTAACCATAATTTTTCTTCCGGAAAGCTTCAAAAAAACTGGGGTGAAATTAACCATAATTTTTCTTCTAGAATCACCCGTTCTCTTTCCAAAATTTTGAATCATTTACACTTTTATTTAAAGTTTCTTTATAACTTATCTCCAAATTTAAAGTTTCTTTATTACTTACCCTTAGCAGTGAAAGTGGGCTGCGTTGGACCGAGCTTTGTCCCGAAAAGTCCAAACTTATGTCAAAAAATTTCAATTTGGCCTAGCCCAGTTTTCTGACACACTTTTCCATCATGTGTAACAACACTTTCCTCCCCAGTTTCTCCTCAATGATCCCCAAGGAATTTTCAATTTTGTGGGTTCTCTTACCCTCCATACAGTGTATGCTGATACTTGCATAATAAATAGTTTTTACTATTACAATTTGAGTGTTGTCTTTAAGCAGCAGATATTGTTTATGTTAAATGGGTAGCCCTAGCTATAAGGTGGGATTTTGGATTATTTTACATTCAGAGAGGAATGAGAAGCCATAGTGACAGAACCAAGAGGGAGTGAATTGGTTCTTTGAGTTCAATGAGAGGAAAAGTGTTAAGGCAGCACATATCCATATTATGACTGTTGGAAGTTGATTCTTCTCACTTTATGACTAAATCATAATCATAAATAGATAGGAAAACTAAATCCTAATCACTTATCTTTGAGGCAATCAACTTAATAGCATAGATACAATCAATCCATATACTAAGGCAACATACTTAAATTGCAAATTCATCATCAAAACATAAAACCCAACACCTTGTGTTATTGGTTGATCACAAATCTCTATCCGGCTACATCTGAATAATTGATGTCATCAATTAGATTTGTCACACGCTGTTATTTCTGTTTTCATGATTATTGAAATATCTGAGGTTTTTCTAAAGTTTTGTGTTTTGCATGTTGCATTGAAGCTATAATGGGGTAAGAGAAGAGATTAGTTGATATACTGTGCATATATAAATAAAAGCTACATACATTTCTGCTCTTCTTTTCCACCTTTTTTCTAAGGTTTCATGTATATATATCCTTTTGTGGAATGTAGGTTTCTAGATTGGGCTTTGGATGTGGAGGTTTATCTGGATATTATAATGCTCCACTCTCGCATGAAGCTGGATGTTCGATTATTAAGGAAGCATTCAATAAGGGTATTACATTTTTTGATACATCAGATTTTTATGGACGTAATCATGATAATGAGTTCATGGTTGGTAAGGTATCATATTATCCAACTACTTAATCTTTTTTTAATTTTTATTCTAGATGATGAAACTTCATTATAATTTGAATAAATTGCAGATATAGTTTCATTAGTTTGGTTGTTAATAAGTTAACAAGTGACTCAAAGAAAGACCACTGTGCTTCATATATTAAAAAACTTTATATTTCATGTACTTATTATATCTTGGCTTCTGTCATCAGGCTTTAAAAGAACTTCCTCGTGAAAAAGTTCAGTTGGCTACAAAATTTGGTATTTTTAAATCTGAGGAAACACCTTTTGGGGTCAAAGGTACCCCTGAATATGTGAGGGAGTGCTGTGAAGCTAGTCTTAAGCGGCTAGATGTGAGTTATATTGATTTGTATTATCAACATCGAGTTGACACCACAGTGCCAATTGAAGACACTGTAAGCTTTGAATGGTTTTCTCAACTTGACAGTTAAGCATTCTTTTGCACCTCTTTGTAAACTAATGATGGTTATGTTGTTTAAAATTGACCTCAATAATGAAGGTGGGGGAACTCAAAAAGCTGGTAGAAGAGGGAAAGATTAAATATATTGGATTGTCAGAGGCTAATGCTGACACTATAAAGAGAGCACATGCTGTTCATCCTATTACTGCTTTGCAAATGGAGTATTCTTTATGGACCCGTGAGATAGAAGAGGAGATAATTCCTCTATGCAGGTTTTTAAATGGAATAACTTTCTCTTCTGTTTATACTGTCAATTGTTAACAATTATACTTGAGTTTCATCTTGTTGAAGTAGGGTAAGGAGAGGAGCCCACGTTAGAGGAGAAATACCAAAACCTTAAAGTATTAGATTTATAAGTCCTCCCACTTATATGGATTTTACTTAGCCAATTATCAAACCATGTGAGACTCTATTATACTTGAATATCCCAACAATCTCCCTTTCAAATGTGAAACTCCACATTAATATGCTCCCCAGCAGCCCCGCCTCAAGCTAAACATAGATTTATGGGTCCTTTCATTTATATGGTCTTCACTTAGTCTATTTTTAATCAATATAAAACTTCACTACTCACACTTGAATTCCCAACCGTTGATTGATATGTAAGTTAGTCTCTTAGATATGCTTTTAAGTTAGATTATTTGCAAAATTTAAAACTTTAAACCACTCCCTGTTAAACCCGACTAGCAAGTGTGGGGCGGAGGTAATCTTGTACGCAACCTTACCCTTGCATAATTGCATAGAGACTGTTTCCTAGATTCGAACCTATGACCTTTCAGCCATGAAAGAACACCTTTATCACTGTTCTGGTTCGCCCCCTTTTAGATTATTTTCAAAATATGTGAAAGAAATTGTTAATTGTGTAACTAAGATGAATTTGTACTTACAGAGAACTTGGGATTGGAATAGTAGCATACAGCCCTCTTGGTCGTGGCTTTTTTGCAGGGAAGGCAGTGGCAGAAACTCTGCCTAGTGAGAGTTTTTTGGTATGCAGCTAGTGACAAGTTATACAGTTTCAAATTTTGATGAATCTGTAGGATCATACCACTGCCTGTGGGAACTCATTATCATTGTTTTAATTCTACTCCTACAGTTAGAAATTTTATGTTTATGTACCAGGCTCAGTTTCCCAGGTTCAGTGGAGAAAATTTGGAAAGAAACAAGATTTTTTATAAACGACTTGATGTCTTGGCTTCTAACCATGCATGCATTCCTGCTCAATTAGCCTTAGCATGGCTTCTCCATCAGGGAAATGACATAATCCCTATCCCAGGTAATGTCTTTGTTACACTCAGAAGACTGTGTTCAACATATGTGATGAGTTATTTCCTATCTGCTGCTTCTTTTAATTCTTGAGTTTTCCTCATCACATCCTGAACAAAATTCTGCCAATTTATTCATCTTTTTGGGATGGAAAAAGCATGATACTAAAGCCCTTTTCACTATAAATTTTTTGTTTTTTCATGAATCCATCCATCTCTTCACGGCAATAATGTCCATTTGTTTATTGATTGAACCTAACATCTTGTCCATGACATAAGTCAATACTTTAAACATGAGAATGGATCAATCCTAATGACTGAGTACTTTACCTTATATTTCTTTGATACTATAGGGACTACTAAGGTTAGGAACCTTGAAAACAATATTGGCTCTCTCGCTGTCGAGCTTACAGATGAGGAGTTGAAGGAAATTTCTGATGCAGTTCCTGTTAATGAAGTTGCGGGGACAAGAGAAACTGGTATTGCTTCCAAATACTCTTGGAAGTTTGCAACTACCCCATCAAAGTAATTTTCTGTGTTTTGTTGACAATTGGTGAAATAAAGAATTTGTATAATGAAGAATTAGAGAATTTGTATTGGGAAGAATCATGTAAGTCTGTTATTAAATTAGTATTGTGTTTGTATTGAAACATATGCTTTCCTCAACAAAATAGCCTCTGGAATTCGATCCAGGATAATGCATGTAAAGTGAAAAGAATACTTTTTCCAAATGAAATTTTCTTTGCTGATGTGATTTTTTGCATGCTTATGTCTTGAGATTTTGGAGCAGCGGTGATGTTGATTCTTGTGACCAAAAGGTTACGGATTCGAGTTAGAAAAACAGCTTCTTTATAAAAAATGCAAGAGTAATGCTCTGTACAATCTACAATCGCCCCTACCCTTGTAAATTTTGGAGTCTTATATATCGTGATTTGCACTTTTCATGTCTAAGATGTAGATGCAATTGGATTTGCGAAAGCATTTAGACCGTTGCGATTTGGGATGCAACAGATCATCATCATTTTAATTTACCTCTTGATGAGCAAATCTAGGTAGAACCACCTACTTGAAAAGGGTTATCAGATATTATTAAATTGTAAATATTCTGTACACAAGGTTATCTATTTAAAGAGATTACATGACCTAATGGGCTAAGCCCAATACAACAAACAAATAAATAAATATTAATATTTACAACACTCCCCCTCAAGCTGAGGAATAGATATTTATCATTTCCAGCTTGCTAGTAAGTTCTTGAAATCTATCTGAAGGAAGTCTCTTTGTCAAAACATCAGCTAATTGATGCCTAGTGAGAATGTAGGGTGTGGTAATCAGCTCGCTATCAAGTTTCTCTTTGATGAAATGACAGTCGACCTCAATATGTTTAGTCTGATCATGTTGAACCGAATTATAAGCTATACAAATAGCTGACTTATTATCACATAGCAGCTTCATAGGTCCCTCACATTTTATTTTGAGATCATCAAGTACAATTTCCAGCCACAGTAACTCACAAAAGCCTTGAGCCATAGCTCGAAATTTAGCCTCTGCACTTGATCTGCCAACCACACCTTGTTTCTTACTTCTCCACGTCACCATGTTACCACAAAGAAACATACAATAACCAATGGTAGAACGACGATCAGTCACAGATCCAGCATAATCAGCATCAGTGTAGACTTCTAAAGAGAGATCTCCATCACGCCGGAATAACAGTCCTTTACCTGGAGTAGCTTTAAGATACTGAAGAATTCTCTCCACTGCCTGCATGTGTTTCTCCTTTGGATCATGCATAAACTGACTGACAACACTAACAACATAAGCTAGGTCTGGTCTAGTATGAGCCAGATATATCAATTTCCCAACTAGCCGTTGATATTGTACTTTATCAACTGGAGGACTCTCCTCTTCATAGCCTATCTTGTGATTCTGCTCAATAGGAGTATTAGAGGGTTTACACCCAAGCTTTCCTACTTCTTTGAGAAGATCAAGAACATATTTCCTCTAGCTGATAAAAATTTCTTTGTTTGAATGAGCTACCTCTATCCCTAGGAAATATCTCAGTTTTCCAAGGTCTTTGACTTCAAAATTAGAGGTTAGCTGTGTTTGCAGAATATGTCTCTCCACAAAATCATCACTTGTGATAATAATATCATCAACATATACAAGAAGCATAGTAAGCTTCCCATTTTGGGAGTGCTTGAAGAAAAGAGTGTGATCTCCTTGACTCTGTTTGTATCCTAAGGTCATCATAACCTTAGTAAAACCTTCCAAACCAGGCACGAGGTGAATGCTTCAATCCATACAAGGCCTTTTTTAATCTACAAACTTTATTTTCTCCATTCATAGAATCAAAACCAGGCGGGATTTCCATGTAGACTTCTTCTTCTAACTCACCATTGAGGAATGCATTCTTCATATCAAATTGATTTATATCCCAATTGTAATGGGCAGCAAGGGATAACAAGACTCTCACCATATTCATCTTTGCAACTGGAGCAAAGGTTTCTTCATAATCAATGCCATAGGTCTGAGTGTAACCTTTGGCGACTAATCGAGCCTTATATCTCTCAAGAGTGCCATCAGAATTATACTTCAGGGCATAAAACCATCTGCATCCTACTGCTTTCTTTCCGTTGGATCTATCATTAACCTCTCATTTTTATTTTTCTCCAACACATTCATCTCTTCTTGCATGGCTTGAGCCTAATTCTCATCTTTCAATGCTTCATGTACTGATTTTGGGATTGAAATAGAATCTAGTGCTGAAACAAAGCTTTTGTGCTGCACAGAAAGATTAGTAGAAGAAACAAAATGGGAGATAGGGTATTGAGTACAAGAGGGACATGAGGAACAAGATTTCTTGGAACAAGATCTTTTTCCTTTTCTTAAGGCAATGGGTAAATCATCAGAATCAGTAATAATGGGTAAGTCATCAGAAGTATTAATATCATGATCAGAAATATAAGATTCAGGACTTATGTAATACCCCATATTTTTATAATAAAATAATAATAATAATAATAATAATAATATAATAATAATAATAATAAACTATAAATTAGTAGTAATAATATATATGTATATGTATATATATATATTTTATGGTGATAGATAACAAACTATAATATTAATTTTATCTTTAATAAAATTATTTTGTGCGATATAAGTGCTATTGAAAAATAATTTTGATACTTTGTAATACCCTAGATTATTTATAATAAAATAATATTAATATGTGTGTGTATATATATATAAGATGATAAATTATGATTAATTGATTGATTGATGATTTATGCATTAATGTTTGATTGGTAATGTTTGATTGGATTAGGATGAGTCAACAAACATAAATTGTTTAGATATGATGAGTTAACAAACATAAATTGTTTAGATATGATGAGTCAGCATTGAGTCAGTAATGTGTAAGCCCTAAACTTCAACTATAAATAGAGGTCTAGCCTAACCAAACCAATTCATTCTTCAACATTTCTCCTCTACTATTCTCTCTTTTTAGTTCAAAAACTTAGTTTAATTTATTTTATATTCTTCTGATTATCAACCGGTTCTCTGACCCAAATTACTCTTTTCTTCTAGAAGTTAGCGAAAACGGAAACCAGGTAATCCTAATCTCTAGGTGGTTGTAGATTTGTTGTGTATGAAATTTTATTGGGTGTATCCTAATCTTTAGGTAGTTATATGTTTGGTATATGTAATCCTATTCGTAGGTTATTTCTTTTATATAAAACTTGGATGTAATCCTAATCCCTAGGTGTTTAGGTTATCTCTATTTTTTTGGATATTACATGGAATCGAACAGCAAACCTAACACCCTCTAAACACACCCAACACCACTAGGCTATCCCTAGTGGTGCTTTAGGTTATCTCTATTATATGAAATTTGGGCATAATCCTTATATGTAATCCGTAGATGTTCTTAATAGTTTGGTATGAACATTTCTATATATATAAGTATTTGTTTTTTTTTTTAATTTAAATTACTACATATGATAATTAGAATATTTTTGGAAAATTTTATTATTTTAGAAATCATGATTATGTGCAATATATGATATAAACTTTTATTATTTTAGAAATTATGATTATGATTATGTGCAATATATAATATAAAATGTTATTATTTTAGAAATTATAATTATGTGCAATGTATGGTATAAGATTTAATTCATGTGCAATATATGGATCTTATTGAATAATTATGAAAATTATGGAATTATACTACTCTTTAAGAAAAACTTTCCAAATATGTGTTTTAATTATTGAATTTAAATATTTATATTATTAATAACTATGATAATTGATGTGATGGGATTATTTGAATGATGATGATTGGATTTGGATTTTTCTATGATGAATGTTGAAGATTTGAATTATTATATCCTTGAATAAATTGGAAAGTTATAATGAGGATTGGATTTGGATTTTACTGTGATGAATGTTGAAGATTTGAATTATCATATCCTTGAATAAATTGGAAAGTTATGATGATGATCGGATTTGAATTTTACTGTGATGACTGTTGAAGATTTGAATTATCATATCCTTGAATAAATTGGAAAGTTATTATGATGATCGGATTTGGATTTTACTATGATTGATGTTGAAGATTTGAATTGTTATATAAATTCGAGAATTTATGATAATAGTTGTTTGAATTATGATACTTTGGAAAATTATAATGCCCTTGAGTAACTCATTTAGAGATGATAATACTTAAAGAATAAATAATTATGATTGAATCTTTCCTGATTGTGTGTGTTTGTAATAAATTAATGGTGGGAGGATAGCTTTGGGATGGTACCTCCCAAGGTGATGAACACAACTTTTGGGCTTTATGCCTCCGATGTGAAACTGATGTGAAAAAGATTATATCCATTCTTTCCAAAGTGGTGTCTGGCAGGGTTTCCCGGGATACTAGTAGCAACTTTGGGAAGAGGTGTGCACACTAGGAAGATGTGAATTGATTATGGCCAATGTGATTTGTTTGTGACTGGCAGGGTTTCCCGGGTCACAGGGTAGACTGGCAGGGGTTCCCGGGTCTACCATGGTTCTCTTCCCACTAAGTACAATGAACTTAAACATGATTAATAATGAAATGTTATTTGATTTGATTATGATGAATGCCATTGAGTTGTGAATATTACCATTTATGTAATATTATGATTAATGTTGTGCTGAATATGTTAGTTGATAAATTACCCTTACTAAATACACTGAATGGACTAAATAAAGATTAATATAATTAATAACGAGTTGATACTTGATTTGAATTTTTGAGTTATATTACTTGATTGAGTTCTATTTATTTATTTATTTATTTATTTTTGTATTTTGATTGGGATTACCAGCTTTGCTGACTTTTGTGTTTATTGACTGCAATGATCTTGCGGCTGTGGGGGAGCAGATTTTCAGTGAAGCATGTTGCAAAGGATGGGGCTAGCTGTGGACAGTGAGGATCACGACTCGGATATTTCTAGCTAGTTTCTAAGTTTAGAAATTTATGAGATTTAAATAAATGCATAAGATATATTTCCTTTATTTAAACTTTAGTCTTTGGTTTTATTTTAATGTAATAAATTTAGCCTTGCACCTGTCCATTGTACAGGTGCGGCGGTAACATTCCCCAAATTAGATTTAGATTAGCTTCCGCAATATTTCTATTATTATAATTGTAAAAAAAAAATGAATTTGACAATTTATTTATTATAAGATTGTTTTATAAATTGTTAGAAATTTGGGGTGTTACAACTTACCAGTGGTTCAGACGATTGAGGTTGCTAGTGAGGCAATGCGGGTTGTTTCCTTCTCTGATATACCAACTCAGGTGTCACAATCTTTCGTATCTCTAGTGTACTTGATGGATCAGTCATAGGAGGATCAGACATAGGAGGATCAGACTCAGAAGGAACAAAAACAAGAGGAGGAGGTGAAGGAGTAGATACTGAAGATTCAAACTCAAAGAAAGAAGGTGATAAGTTTTCTGGTGAATTATTCTCCCCCTGAAGATGAGGATCTTTGAAAAAAGACTCAGATTCCTGAAACGTAACATCCATAGAAACAAAAAATTTCCGACTGCTAGGGTGATAGCACTTGTAGCCCTTCTTATCAAGAGCATAACCAAGGAAAACACATTTAAGAGCCCTAGGATCTAACTTACTGCGATGCTGTTTATGAACATGAACAAAGACAACACACTCAAACACTCGAGGAGGAAGACTTTACAAAGTTAGAACATAAGGGAAAAAAGAAGTTATTGAGTGAATAGGACTTACATTATCAAGAACCCGAGTGGGTAGACGGTTGATCAAGAATGCTACAGTAAGAATGGCATCTCCCCAATAGCATTTGGGTACATATGTTTGAAACAATAAGGCACGAGAAACTTCAAGAAAGTGACGATTCTTTCTTTCAGCAACCCCATTTTGTTGAGGGGTGTCTACATAAGTAAGTTCATGAATCATACCTTGACTTCATATAAATTGGGGAAAACAGTGATTAACATATTCAGTACCATTATATGTCCTTAGTCTCTTGATTTTTTTTACCAAATTGGGTCTCAACCATTTTATAAAATTGAAAGAACAGTTGTGGTACCTCATACTTTTCACGCATTAAGTAAACCCAAGTTACACGAGTGCAATCATCAATAAAAGAAACAAATCATTTATTACCAGAAGAATGAAGGACCCCAAACATCAGAATGAATAAGATCAAAAGGTTCAACACTTTTAGTAATACTAGAAGGAAAAGATACACGATGATGCTTAGCAAACTCACAAACATCACAATGAAAAGACTCAACAGACTTAGACAAAAACAATGACGGAAATAAACATTTGAGTAAACTAAATGGAGGATGTCACAAGCGCTTATAATGAAGCCAAATCAGAGAATCAGCAGTTGATTGGCCATAAGACAGCAAGATGTGATCCTTAACATTAGTTGCAGGAGATTATGACACCAGATAGTACAGCCCACCTTGCTCTTTAGCACCCCCAATCGTCTTCCCCGTGGCGAGATCCTGAAAAACACAATGAGTAGGGAAGAAGTTTACAGTGCAATTCAAGTCTTTTGTAATTTTATGAATAGAAAGAAGATTAGTGGAGAGTTTAGGAACATGAAGAGCATCTTTGAGATGTAAGGAAGGCTGTAATTTTATGTTACCAGAACCCGCAACTGATGTAAGTGAGCCATCAGCTACGGCTATTGTATGAGTGCCAATGGTGGGGTTATAAGAAATAAAGGAGTTAGCACAACAAGCCATATGATCAGTAACACCATAATCAACAACCCAAGAATGTTTAAAATCAATACATGAAGTAAGGAAAGAATAAGTATTGGAGCTCATACCAGTCATAGCCAAATCACTAGTACCAGATGGCTTACTCAGAGAATCAAGTATGGTTCGGAGTCATTCCAACTCATCTTGACGAAATGCAGGTTGGGTCTCATTAGGTGCAGAAGCTATATCAGAGGAAGTAAAATGCGCTTGACCACGCATCCTTGCCTTCTTTTCTAGGACTTTTTGCTTTCCATGGAGGCGAAAGCATAGATCCTTGATATGACCGGTTCTTCTACAGTAAGAACACCAGCAATCATTTTTCTTGGGTCTAGAAGATGCACCATCAGAAAATTTTGTAAAAGAACTCTCTTGAGAAGATCCATCCTTTTTTGTGGAAATCATAGCATACCCATCAATGGGTTTAGAAGCAGCACCATCATATGATGACAGCATGACAGATTTATCAGAGTTCATAATAACTCCCTGACGAGTCTCCTCCCCCCGAACAATATTGAAAACAGCATAAAAAGATGGAAAAGTCTATTTGCCAAGTATCTGAACCCGAATAGGATCATACTCGGAATTCAAACCAGCAAGAAAATCAAAAATATGCTCATTTTCCAAGCAGTAGCATCTGCAGTACATTGCATCTTCAAACTCTGAAATTGATCAAGTTCAGTCCACAACTCCTTCAAAGTACCATAGTAAGCAGTCACTGATGAGGAGTCTTGTTTAGCAGTGAATATTTTATTGTGCAATTCATAGCGCGCAGCCATATCCTGTTTCAAGGAATAAGTTGAGCGGACAGTTTCCCAAATCTCCTTATCAAAAGACAGAAACATACAGTGAAGACCCACTTCAGGAGTCATCGAATTCCACAACCAAGTCATGATAAGAGAATCCTCATTATCCCAGACAGCAAAACTAGGATCAGTGGCAGCAGGAGCAGGGCCATCAAGATGAGCAATCTTATTGCGACTCTTGATGGTAGTACGAATAAGTTGAGACCACGACAAATAATTTGACCCATCAAGTCGATAACTCTGATGTAGACTTGGAAGATCATTGTGACCAAGAGGGGTCACCATAGATTGTGCAGAAGAATTTCCAGATGGGTTTATAATAGTCGAATCAGTGTCGGACGCCATACTGCAAAAAATACAAGAAAAAAAATAGCACCAAGAAGCCAAACAACACACAAAGTATACCTAAACGTTGTCGGATCAGAAGGAAAAACACAGATCCAGGTAGAGGAAGGAGAGACGAGCAAAGCGTTTTCGGTTGAAGCTGGAAACTCGCCGCCACGCGCTACCACGCGCCGGTGGAGTTGTCGGCGCGTGGGCTTCACGCGCAGAGAGAGGGATGGCGCGTGAGAGCGAGTGAACCGTCGGTCGGAGCTGGGCTTCTCACCGTGAGGTCGTCCGGAGGTTGCGGTCCCGTCTATGGCTGATCGGAGTCCAAACGGTCACCGAAAAATACTGTTCCAGTGATGAACAGTTGCGGGTTTGGATTGTTTTGGGAAGATCCGGTCGTCAATCGACTGTAACACGTCCGCAAACTGATAGATCAGAGAAAAAGGATTTAAAAACAGGTCCTCTCAGTCCAAAAGGTCCCCGAAAAATTTTTCGGTGGCAGCTAATGGCAGCGAGAGGCGAAAAAAAAAGGTTTTTTATTCTAACGATGGTAACTGCGGAAGCAGAGCCCTCAGATCGAGAGCTCTGATACCAACTTAAAAAAGGGTTATCAGATATTATTAAATTGTAAATATTCTGTACACAGGGTTCTCTATTTAAAGAGATTACATGACCTAATGGGCTAAGCCCAATACAACAAATAAATAAATAAATAATAATATTTACAACACACCTCATATATGATTCCCCTTCACGAACCGATCTCCTCTACATCACGGCACGAACTGATCTTCTCTGTGTTACAGCACGATCAGACCTCACGTGTTTCTAGTAAATCTTCCACATTATCCTCAAGGGGGGAGGGGAAGTGTGTGGGAACATTTTCATATCTGAGCTTACCTCTTCTGTTCAATGATCTAGAGGTTGGTGACTTAAGTGGTAGTATTTATATGGATACCAAGAAACTCTAGCCCTAAGCTTTTTTGAGCTTTAGGCTTCTTGGGTTCTTCCCATACTCTTAGCCCAATTGGGTTTCAGTAAAAGCACAAACCCAACAATCTCTCACTTGCTCTTTTGGGTACAAATTTGAGTCTAAAACCCAAAACCATGTAACCAACAAGCCATCATGAACTGAAAATCACACCATCCCTTGTCTCAAGCTAACCTGGGGATCTACCATCTGTTATTAATCAAGGCTCTTGATAATCAACGAATGATTATCTAATTCGGTGTTACTCCACTAAAAGCCCAAACTTGAATTCCACGATTAATAACACATTTATAACATGAATATGCATCGTTCTTTGTAGAATGTCAATAATTGATTGATGAGTTTTTTGTTATTCAATCATTTATAAAGTAATTGTCTTTGTTTAGTTGACATGGTGAAATGAAGAATTTGTATAAAGAAGAATTGGAGAATTTGTATACACATGTAAGTCTGATATTGAATTAGTATTGTGTTTGTATTGGACCAATATGCGTATCTCAACAAAATAGCCTCTGGAATTCGCTCCAGGATAATGCATATAAAGTGAAAAGAAAACTTTTTCCAAATGAACTTTTCTTCTGAAATGATTTTATATCTGCTCATGTCTGAGATCTATTCCCCCTACAAACATTTCACAGTTACAAATTTCCCTTCAGAACTATCTTCTAGGACTAGGAGTTGCCATGTGTTAGCAAATAGTAAAGCTGTTGAAGACTATACTCCATCTTACCAGCAATTTGGGCAAAAGTAATTTAGATTACCATTGTACTCATGAGCCGTAAAGGCTTCACTTTGCATCAAAACAGTGATTGGTATAAAAATAGAAGAGAAGTGCTGAGGGGGGAAATAATTCAATCCGAAACCAGTAGATAAAGATGAATAGTGAAAAATGTTTATACTATACTTTTTCATAAATTATTGGATCAAATGTTTTGAATTCTAACTTAGTTAACATATTAACATAAGTAATGTAATTAATACAATTAATTCATAAACCCACTTTCCTTCAAAGGTATTCATTCCTGTAGTTGATTTTTACACAGGATCTATAAACATGTGGGTCTATTCTGCAGGAAAATATGCTAATTTTTGTACAAGAAATAAAATTATTGATTACAAACCAGTAAAAACTATGGTATGAGATGGACGTTAGCATCATCGTTTATTGATTACACAGATATCTCAACACATTTTTCATATTCGAGAATAAAAAATTTATGAACAGAAAAGAATGTGAACATCACATCTTTGCAACCGTTTCATATGTACAAATATTCACCAACACAACCTGAGTCCGTGGTAGGCACGTTCTGTATTCACCCGGCTATGGGTCAGGTCAAGCTGATTACTCAGGCCTGTCAAAGTCACCATTTTGGAGTGTATTTCCCACCACCCCATTTTCAAGTCTCTGCAACACCGTAAATTTTGTCATTGAAGTCAATGATCAAAGTAATGTGTCACATCTAATGCAAAAGAAACTAAAAGAACATTACATCATACACAACATTGATCCCGACCTAACACTAAACCAAGTAAAGCTACAAGTTGGGACCTGGGAACCAAATCTTAATCCTTTAATTACTTGTTTCTATTTATGTCAAAGAGAATGCCTGGTGCAATTTAGCTAAACTTACAAGTAAGACTTAAGTTTCTTAGGAATTAAAAGATCAATATGCCTTTGATTATGCATTACACAAATGAAACAGAACTCCAATTGACATATAAGTTATATGCACGTAAAGCCCCAGATGTATACTTTCTCTGTGTCAAAGAAAATTTTTGGAAACTGTTAAGTCCGATTTTATATTATTTCTACAAGTCAGGTAGGTCTGGGAAAACTGCACTAAATTAACGAGTACCTTGCGAGTTTGGTTTCGGGAGCTACCGGACTCCGAATGGGCTATAATTTATATGTACATAAAGCCCCCCATGTCTAGTTTCTGATTATATAAACTTTATGTCAAAATTCTGAAAGCTCGATTTTATGTGATTTTTGCAAGACAGACAGGTTTTTCTGGAAAACTACTATTTCAGCAAACAGTGTATTTTATAAAGTTTCACACTATTTTCATGCACAACCAGATTTCGTTATAAGATTTTATTTCATGACTTAAAAATGCAGTTTCAGTATTTAATTCAATTTCGTTACGACTCTAATCTGCTTAGCAGACATCTCCCTTGGATGCATACAGGGGAGGGTGTCACACTAAATGAATCTGCTTGCATCACTTAAATATAGAGCAGACAATCCCTGTTTAAGAAAACAAGGTAAAAATCAGAAAAGAGAAGAAAATTAGATCTATTATTTTTTCCCTTTGGTTAGAGAAAATTCGATTTTATGAGGCAACTGCAGTTCAATTTCCTTTCAAACTTCAAAGGAAAGGGATAATGCTGCTCAAAAAGAATTCCAAAAGCCACTTAGGTAGAAGGTCATAGCTTGAAGTTGTGATAACAACTGCTTGATGTAGCAAGAAAAGACTTCCAAAACGATGCTGACTTGCAAGATAATAAATGAATAATCATGAACAGTTGACCTTTCAATTAATGTCGGAGTGATAGTTCTTTTATTTAAAAAAAATCATACTGGAGTGGTCATTTATCCATCATAGAAACAGTAATATAAGCAACAACAACAATCAAGCCTTATCAGTTATCACACTAGGTAGGGTCAGCTAAGCAACAAAAGTACAAGGATAAAAAATAAATAAAATAAAGAATGTACCAAAAATAAAATAAAATAAAGAATAAAGAAACAATGAAGTTGTGCTATTTGGTTACAAGTAATATGTGGAATATAAATTTATAATAGGGATTCAGATACATACTTCTGCAGGTAAATCAGCTCGAAACAAATTTATAGCTTCTGCTTTGAATTTGAATCCACTGAATATGACGGAATTTTTCGTATCAGTGATATGCACAAAACGAGAAAACCATATGTCAAATGGAATTAACAAAAACTTGCAATCAGTATTAAGATAGATAACGGAATTAATTAATCACGTTGAGAGTATCTCAACCACTCATAATGATTATCCAAGGCTGGTTCCTTAGTAAACATCCCGTTCAGTTTAAAGTGGAAAGCACATGCATTAGGACCAACAAATTTCAAACTACAAGAGTAAACCAGTTAAAATTAGCCACGAGGTACGTGGATATGAATCTCTAGGAACCATACCATCTGGATAGTACTAGCTGCCAGACATACGGGATAAAAAACTCCTCAGGGTGACTCTCTTGTTCATATGTGAAGCGCAGTTGAGTAAACATCTGCCAAACAAGATACCGTCTCATAAAAGCAAGGCAAGTTATCCTCCTAATGTTATTCCCTATTGGAAGTAAACCGTGAATCACACAAGTTATTTCCATTTTACCTTCATCCCCTCAACACGCCAAGATCGACAGTTGACAATAATCACTTGGAGCACTTCATCAACTGACCAGTCACCATCTATTCTTTGGGCATCCATGCGACTATTAAAAAAATCTAACACCTGCAAATATCAAATAGAACACATTATTTATGTGCTTTTGAAACATGATGTATTATACAAAGACAAGGTTCACAAATATAACTAAAGAAGCCATGAAATTTGCTCCTTTATAGTTGCAAAATTTTAAAGGCAAGTGTATGTTGTAATGTGATTTAAATGAAATACATGAAACATACAGTATAAATATTTTCAACCAGCTCATTGAAGCGTGGATGATTCTTGAAAGGCTGAAAGACTTCCTGCTTGTGCATTATTGCATACACTACCTGTCCCAGTCACAAAGAGCAATACATTAGATGTACAAGGTCACAATGTGACTAGTGCATTTGATTACTGGGAACTAGATAAAAATAGATGTGAATGAGATAAATCTGCAATCAATCAAGTAGAACTACAAATTATACCTCAGGATTTCGAGGCAATGCATAAGTCAGGATAGCATTTATAATTTCTAGTACAAGCCTCAAGAAGTCAGTATAAATGTGCAACTCTGCTGACTGCATCAAAAGATTATATCTTTAGCAAAAGTAATAGTAAAAAGTTTGTAATCAATACAATCACAAAAGCACAAAAACCATATCACATACCACATCTTCTCTGAGGCTACTTCCTTCAATTGAGTTGCCTTTTGCAATATCGAGCTTATTATCTCTGAGATCTGCTAATTTGTTATACCTAATGAGAACCAAACAACTATACAATCAAATCTTTATACCCAATATTAGTTACTCAAGATAAAAATTTGAAATGAAAATAGTTTATTATGAAAACCCAAAAAGAGCAGTGACATACTTCCGTGATAACATGTAAAAGAGGCTAACTAGTCTCTGAGCTGCATATGCACTCAAACGGTGAACATGAGGTGCCATGTTTGCCAAAGTTGCCAGACATGTTGTATGAAGATAAACATCCTGTCATAATTCAACACAATATCCTATTTTAGCACACCATCTAAACATATCAATAGACTAAGTAAAGGAATGCAAATTTAAAGCTTACAAACATGAGTGGAAATTATGCTATCAAGGTCAAGACTCAAGAATCCTTAATATTTAAAATTTATTGAAATTAATTATACACATGTGCTTAGAAATATATCAATCCATAACATTCTGAAATATAGTTACGACCTATATTAGGAAGTAGCTGGCGCATTAATTAGTGGCCCTTGTTAGTTGTAATTGTTGTATTGGTAGTTAAACTTGTTAGTTAGGTAGTTAGATGGTTATTGGCTTTCGACAGCTTAGATACTGTATATAAGGGAGTTGGCTGAGAGTGCTCAGTTGAAGAGGAATGTCCCTTGCCAAGAGAAGTGTCTCTTGTGTGTTAATTTTATTTTCTTGTCAATAAACAGATTTTCCCTTCCATTTCCTTTCTTTTCTTTCATTCTTCCTTTCTATAATATCAGTTCCAATCTCTAAAAAACCCAGAGCCATAACAAGTGGTCCGATCTGCCAAATCTTGGAGGAGGTTGCCACATATGCAAGCGTTGGAGCTATGGAGAGTTCAACAAAGATATTGAAGAGACAGACCAGCGAAGATGAGTGGGATTCTAAAATTGAAGAGATTAAGGATATGTTGTTGATATCAAAGTTATCAAATGCGGAGCGGCCAACCCCAAAAAACGCTATAGCGCTATAGCGGGTTGCGGTTGCGGAAATAGCGAAATAGATATATGACAGAAATAATGACAAAAAGAAACATTTTTTAAAGGCAGAGATAGCAGAAGTGACAGAGAGAGACACAGATAGACTAAAAAACCCTTAAAAATTTTCTGTTACACATTTAAATTTGGACAAAATTGACATTTTGCCTTATGACTGCAATATGACCGCGATTTGGACGCAAATGCGATCGCAATGACCGCTATTGCATTTCGGTGCGGCGCAGAGCGGTTTCTTGCGGCGAGGCACCGCAACGCCCATACGGCGCGGCTCACAGCGTTATTGCGGCGCAATTAACTACTATGGTTGATATTGCTAAAGATCCCAAAAAGTGAGTGGGAGAACCAAAAAAGGAAGAAGCTATCCTCTGAAATCAAGAAGAAGCAACCTTGGAAAGAGGAGGAAGCTTTGCCATCCATGGGTGTCTATGCGTCAATACTCGAGTGTTGCACCGATGAAGAAGAAATAAAAACATCGCATAAGTTGGTAAAGGTGCAAGAAGTTGTTGCTGAAGACGAGAAGCCAAACCCTTGAAATCAAGAAGACACAATTTTGGGCAGAGGTTTTTTCTGTCATGCGTTGGTGGTGAACAAACAGAGCATGGCACCAAGGAAAAAGAAGTAACAAAAATATTGGAGAAGGCACAAGAGGAGGTGGATTCAAAACCAACACACAGTATGAAGGAAATTGAAATAGAAGATGAAGATGCAAAAATGGGTCACGTATTTCCGAATTTAGTGTTCAACGAGAAGTCGGATGAAAAACAGAAATGAGAATCTCCACCAAAGCTAGTGAATATAGACTCGTCGATGGAGGTGGATGGGATATCAATGGCATAGGGGAATTGGTATCCGAACCAGCAAACCCAGCCTCCATTGCTATTCTTGGGTGGGTGTGCTAATAACATGATGGTGGAGCAAAGGAAGAAGAAGTCAGCAAGTGCAGCTATGGGGCTACAAGTTTTACACAGTCTACCACTAAACCCACAACCATTGGAGCCGTCGGAGTCCATCCTGGATGCGGAGGACTATGGGTTAGTCTCGACTGAGCGACCTTGTGTATGTAGTATGTACAGAAAGCAGCGGACAACAAGGTTCACATAAAAGGGAAAAACGGAAGGGAAGAATTGGAATTATGCCAGGTAGGTCTAATTTTTTACTTAATCGTCCAAGCCCAAACTCCTCGTAGCATTGAGGAAAAAAAATATCAAACAAAAAATTTAGTGCATCTAGCAATACATCAATAGGAAATTGTTGTTATTGGGGACACATGCGTTCAACTCAACAATAAAGGAGTGTAGTGGTGTCCAACAGATTCAAAGCCAAGCTCCATCAGTTAACAAAAGTCTTCCAAGAACCATGAGCAGTGCATTGCGACATCGTCCCGACGAAAGAATGCTTCAGGCCTAGGGAGGAAGAAAGGCGTTTCCACGATTTCATCAAGCACTCATTGGTAATCATCGCAAGGTCTCGTGGGATAAACCTCGTTCAGGTCGACCCAAAACAATCACTAGCGGATCAGAGTTCGTTTGCTTGTGTTACCCACAATCTCTATGGTGACAAGTGGATAATTAAATAAGTTGTCAGTGAAGAACCTGAATGCCGCATGCTGGACTCGCTAGAAACAATCGAAAGGCTCCACAATTGGAACGACATGGGACAATGGGTGTCGGAATGGAAAATCAACTATTGGAGCAAGATTCCAAAGCTGGTTGTTGAATACGACAAGGAGAATCTATACCATTGCAGGAACTGGGAGATGCTGAAGTTGCCAAAGATTGTGAAGCTTTAGGTGACTGACAACAGTGCCAAGTCACACCAAATAGCATTTGTTTCAAACTATGAAAGTTTGAAAGATATTAAGTCGCTAATTTTGCCGCAATATTCCATATATCACGACGACATGATCTTGGAGGGGTATCAGGTTGAAAAGCACAAGTAGGGAGGAGTTTCCAAAAACTTAGTCATTTTGGCAGGTTTTGAATTTGGTCGTCCATGAGAGGATTAATGATGGGTGCTATAAGATGAGGCATTTGGAGTATGCAGAGTTGTTTTTTCTAAGCTGCACTACCCACATAACTCAGGATACAAAATGGGCCACAATTTTGGCAGAAAAATTGTTTAGTGTTTGTAGTGATACTAAAGGGGACATCATAGTCTCACGTGATTTCAATATTACTAGAGAGGAACATAAGAAGGACAGGTCTGCAGCAAAGAGAGCAGGTAACTCAGTTCCTAACCTGGCAACATCAACTGGAAGAGGGCCCGTGAGGATATCACTAATGATGCATAACCATGCAAGGCCAGTTTTCCAGATTCCAACCTTGAGGACAAGGTTGTTTTCAAGGGGTTGTATTGTTACAAACTATATTAGGAAGTAGTTGGGGCGTTAATTAGTGGCCCCTGTTAGTTGTAATTGTTGTATTGGCAGTTAAACTTGTTAGTTAGGTAGTTCGATGGTTATTTTCTTTTGACAACTAAGATATTGTATATAAGGGAGTCGGCTCTCCTTTAGTGGGAGCTTTTGGACAAATATTGTGTTAGGCTAAGAGTACTCAGTTGAAGGGGAATGCCCCTTGGCAAGAGAAGTGTCTTTTGTGTGTTCATTTCATTTTCTTGTCAATAAACAGATTTGCCCTTCCATTTCCTTTCTTTTCTTTCATTCTTCCTTTCCATAATATCAGTTCCAATCTCTAAACAACCCAGAGCCGTAACAAATATACATTAAATTTTCAAGGCAGGCACATTTTTTCATAGGGTCAGGGTAAGGACAAAGGTAACCATGTTTTGTGCAGTTTAGGATAAGAAGACAGAAGCCAATCCAATTTTGGGCTTTTTGAGTTAAACTAGTATGGGACAAAATATTTCGCATAATTTTTTTAAAAAAAAAACCATCACTGTGCACAGCATCAATCAATTTATATATTCCACTAATACACTCATAAGATCAGTCAACACATCTCTCATAATGGTCATCTGGACTAGCCAATGTGCTATCAATGTGAAACTTAAATAATCAGTAAGCAGAATATGGCAGCTTAAATACACGGGACAATAAAATCAGGAGTAAACACCCTTTTTGGTCCCTGACAATATCTACGAAATCCTTTTTAGTCCCTGGCAATAAAAAAGGACCAAATTGGTCCCTAAAAGTATGAAAAAAGGGCCACATTAGTCCTTATGTCAACTCCTCCGTCACTAACGTGGCCCTTTTTGCATACTGTTAGGGACCAATTTGGTCCTTTTTTATTGCCAGGGACTAAAAAGGATTTCGTAGATATTACCAGGGACCAAAAAGGGTGTTTACTCTAAAATCAGTAGTCCAACTTGCGTTAAGATTCTTACCCGTAGTTTTGACAAATTATACTGTACAGTTCTGATAAGAATGATGATCACGAGGGAACCAAGAGAAGCCTGATGGAGGAGACGCTCTTTGTACCATGGAACAGCTGGCAATATCTGTCCATACATACACTAAATTAGCATTTAGCACAACCATTACAGTTTTAGTAGGACTTTGTCAAACGCCAACAGACAAGTCTTACCAGCTTATGAATGCTTGCATTGAAAGTAGAATCTTGACTAAGTATGAGAAGTATAATCAGCAACATGTAAATTTGATTAGCTGTCTTCCTTTGAGCATCATATAATGTTTCTAGAATGGGCATTAACTGTTATTTCACAAGATAAACAAGGATCAGAATAAGACTCAATCCTCAGTTGCTGTAGATGCACCAAGAAGACCCATATGCTTAAGACGTAAGAATGACTCGAGCAATTTTCAAAACAGGCAGTACATATATCATATGACAGTCAAGGAATCCCCTGAAAATTATTCTTTTGACTTCAAAATATGTACATATATAATAAATTAATTCATTCCTACTTTTTCCATAGGAGAAAATTTAAGTTTGCTTCTTCATACCAATGTATCCAGATCAGTTCGCACCAAAACATACTCCAGAAAGGTGGAATTCCCTTGCAACAATGAGTAAAGCAGTAGGACAGTGGTCTCATCAGCTAAGCAGCTGGAGAGGTTAAAAAAGTTGAAACATTTAAAACACTAAAGTATAAATCCAATATAATGAATTATACACACACACAACACTCTTGTTATAAAATAATAATAATAATAAAATTAGGATACTACATGCATACACAACTTTGTATGCATAAAAAAGTCCTGCGTGGAAAGAAGTCCCTTGATCTACAGGCAGCGGGAAGAGAGAGAGACAGAGGAAGGACCGAAGGACACTTATCAAATGGGTGAAAACAAAAGTATAAGAAACAAGTACTCTGTCATCATAAGACTTGCCTACAACTGATACATGTTCTGATCATCTAACTTTTGAGAAACAGCGGTTACCATCTTATCATGATAACATGCAACAAAACATGTGAATTCCATTTTGAATAGTATAATTATAACCAATTGGAAGCATGTTACGGATCTAGTAAGTTAATTGTCAAACACACATACAGGAAGTCGGATACTCACGTGGCAAGCGTATCAAACAACGAAGCAAAAGGCAACTTTATATGTCGATCACTGTGTGCATTACCCTCTAAATCTACACGATCCACTGCATTTAAAGCATTGATAAAAAATTGCTAACTTTCCAATCAACAAAACGAATACATAGAGATATAAAAGATATATTACATTCAGAATCATTTGCATGCTCTAAGGCCTTGCAGTAAGGGTTGTCAGAAAAATACGTGTTCTCTTTGAGTAAAGAATCTGAAGATGCAGATTTGTGATTCTCAATGGCAGAGTAGCCCTCACTCACAACACATTTATGATAATGAATGAGAACAAGAAGCACATGAAGACTGCTATCTGCTATAGGACTCCTTGATCCCTCGCTGCTTGAACTGGTCAAATAGCTGAATGGCAATAAAACAATATTTGCTGAAAGGAAAGAAGGAAATGCCAAAAGAAGTATCTATCAGTAAATCTCCAACTTTGAAAGGAGAATATCTGGGAAATAAGATAATTATCATGTATTTTATAACTCAAAATATATTTGACCTCAAAATTTCCATAAATACAAAAGTATATCCAGTAACCATACCAGCTGCAGAACCAACTCTCTTTAGCACACTATGCTGACTTCTGTCATGAAATGAGGAATATGATGCACTATTAAATGGAACACCAGGAAGGGTAATGTAATTCAGCAGCAGTTTGAATACAACTGAACTAACCAGAGAGCCATCCTACAAGAAATAACAGTACACTAACTTCAAATTTGCTAGCTGCAGATCCAGAGCAACTAAATAACCAAAGTTTGATGTTGAAATTTCAACTTCTAACCTGAGCCATCGCTGCATCAAGAAATGGGTTCACATCATTTGGTCCAGGAGACGGTTCGCAAAGAAGCTGAGTTGACATTGCAATAATCATAAAATTAAGCAGCTCCAGATGTAGGAAATATGTGCTGGGTCTATAATAAAAATAAATATATTATCAGGAAGAAAAAAAAAGTTCGCAGTTTCACACAATAACTCAACAAGTAATCAACTTGTTATCCATGATATACCTCACATCTACAGATGCTATAAAGTTAAGCACATTCCGCATAACAAGATTTTCAATGGTCTGATCTGCATTAGAATAAAAGGAAAATCTGAATAATGCTGAAACTAAAACATAAAAACCAAAAAATAAAATAAAATTGAAAGGAAAGAGTGAAAATTTCTTAATGAAACTCATTAAGAACTAAAAATGTTCCAAATTGAATAGATATATTTTAAAAAATAATCAAAAAAAAAAAAAAAACTATGCATATTACATCAAACACAAGGAAAAATTTTTTGCATCTAAAGTAACATTTCTTAAGTTGGAAGGTGTCAAAATTCAGATCCAGCCATTAGATCAAACCAAGGCCGCAAATCATATACACAACTTGGTTCAAAGAAGTTTTATATTCATATCTTAATATGATAAAATTTGATAACTAGAAGAGGTAGTTCCATGGCCAGATATCTGAAATTTTACCAACTTCCCATAAAACCAGAAAACATAAAAATAAAGGATAAAGGAGCATCCTAATGTAACGGGCAAAGATGACGGATATTCTAAACTCTAAAGCTGCAACAAGTGTTATACTACGTACCTCCCAAAATATCCATCGGTATCGATTCATTATCATGGAGAGACAAGTACAACTCGATATCATCACCTTGAGCACTTTCAATCAAGTGTTTTAGGAATACCGAAGTGATGTGAACTGCATTAACAGCCTTTTCATAAACCAAGGGCTGCACACCACAAGTAGACATGGACTCTTGCAAGTAGCATGCTAGATGGAACAAAATCTTGGCAAGATGCCTTGTTTTACAGTTGTTTTTTGCTGCAATAATAAGATTTTGACATAAGAAACAAATTAAGCCTCCTTAACCCCATAATTAGCATAGAACCTATGAATTCAAGGCTTTCATGCTATCATGTACCAAAAATAAGAAGAGAAAACTGAGTAATTACTTCAGAGGCAAAACTTAGAACACACTTACTTACCAGAAATAGAATTCAAATCACTAATTCATTAAAAGCCCAAATTTTTTAGAGAAAATTAACATCATTTGAACATAGAGAAAACTATACTCCAAATAAATAAATTTCATGCAACAATGTTATTAGCCACGAATCGAGCAAACATAGTTCCTCACTGAAGCTTCCTCTTAAACAAAACAAAACTATGATCAGAGAAAGCAACAAAAACAAGAGTATGACTAACCTAAAAGCTCGCAAGCTTCATGAACACGATGAGAGGGCCATTCAACATTGAAAGGAAGCTCAAGAAGCTTCTGCCAGAACTCAGAAGAGAGGGGGAAGGACTCGCCGCCGACGAAGCTTCCGACGAGATACTCCGCCGTGACCGGCGAGAAATCGTGCGGCGTTGACGGCGACGAACCCATTTTGGGAAAACGAAACGGGATTTGAACTTCTGAATCAAAAAACGGTTTTTGTCGCTACTTGTGGCGGGTTCAAAGTAACAGCATTGTGCTGAATCAGAGAGAGAGAGAGAGACGAAAAGGGTTTGATCCAAAGATGAAAACGGAGATGGGTTTTGAAAATCTGGGGAAACAGAAATACAACAGCCAAAACAACAAATTGAAGAAGCAATAGCTTCCGAATGAAGTTTTTGTTTTCCACAAAAATGAGTTGAGGACAAGTTTGTTGAATAATGCTTGAAAAGTTAGAGTAAGATTTTCAAATATTTACCTTATTCAATTATAGACAAATATTGTAAGGGAAATGATATATTTACTACTAAAAAAGTTTATCATCTTTACAACTAACATAATCACCGTTGATTTTCGTTAATCTAACGGTTATCATTTATTGGAAATTATTAGATCGCATTTATTAATTAATTATTATTCTCAAAAAATGATAACCGCTAGATTGACGGAAATCAACGGTGATTAGATTGGTTGTAAATGTGGTAAACTTTTTTGGTGAAAGGATATACTTATTACCAAAAAAGTTTACCACATTTTCAACCAACCTAATCATCGTTGATTTCCGTTAATCTAACGGTTATCATTTATTGGAAATTATTAGATCGCATTTATTAATTAATTATTATTCCCAATAAATGATAACCGTTAGATTGACGGAAATCAACGATGATTAGATTGGTTGTAAATGTGGTAAACTTTTTTGGTGGTAAGTATATCCTCTCCCATATTTTAATATATGTATAAAATTAAGAAAATTTCGTATTACATATAATTAAGTGTTATTTTATAAGGGGAAGGTTATACTTACTATTTTTTTTATTACTACTTCTTACTACCAAATCTTAACCGTTGATTTCTGTCAATCTAACGGTTATAATTTATTGGAAATTAATAATTAATTAATAAGTGAGATCCAATAAATTATAGCCGTTAGATTGACGGAAATCTACGGTTAAGATTTGGTAGTAAGAAGTAGTAAGAAAAAATAGGTAGTAAGTATAATTTTTTCCATTTTATAAATGGGTTAGGTGTTTGTCATCTTGTTTATAAAAAAAAAAGTGTTTGTCATCTTAAACCATACAACCTTGTGTCATTTTTAATAAAATTACGTTATTTTAGTATATTTTTTATATTTTTTATATTATTTTTATAAAATTAGAAGAAGAAAAAATAGAGAAGAGAGAATACAAAAACAAAACAAAACAAGGTAGTTTCTTTAAAAATAACATAAAATTATATCCTTTAAAATGATAAATAATTTCCCTTTATAAATATTATAAGCATATATATAATTTTTTATCATGAGTTTGACTTCTTAAAAGAATACGATAAGGTAATTTAATTTATAAGATTAAAAAATAATATTTTTGAGATAGAGTATTGCCTACCATTTTTCATGTTTACTCTCCATATTCATTTCCAAAAGTGTTAGATCATAATCTCAAGAAGAAGAAAAATGATGAAAATTAATTAAATTTTGATTTAACGGTATTGAAGATGAATATGTAGTATAGGCATAGAAAACTAGATATAATATTTTATCTCATATTTTATTATATAATTATTTATTCATAACTTAAAATATTAAAAAAATACATATAGAAAAGTAAATATGACAATATTTTCTTTCTATTTGAATCAAGATAATATTTTTGAAAAAAATTAAATAATAATTTAAACACAGATTAAAATTTTAAAAATATTTATATATTGCACAAGTTACTAAATAAGTTTTTAATAAATGAAGTTCATTTTAGGTGGTGTGGTGGGAACTAGGGGTGTTAACGGGCCGGGCCGAGCCGAGCCTAGCTTTGATCTTAAAAGGCTAAATTTGTGTTTAAATGTATCAGCCTGACCAAGCATATTACCTGTTATAAATATAATTATCGGTCTGTGACCTGACTTATTTACAAAAAATAAAAGTCTGGTTTAGCCTGTTTAAAAAAAAATAAGACAATAAAAATTTATCCAAACAGAATATACAATCAACAACACTAGTAATTTCATAAATTTAATGTGTATCCAAACAACATTAGGTAAAACAAAATCATTCAAAAAGTCTGTTTAACCAATAAAATGGGATGAAATGAATTGAGGAGAAAGAGAGAGCTATTACAAGTAGTATAAAAAATACAAAAAAAAATAATAATATACTAAGCCAACCTTATAGGCTCTAAAGGCGAGCTTTTGAATTAGAGTCTGAGGCTTTTTTATTAAACGAGCTTTTATACAAGTTCAAGCCTCGTGCCAACAATCAATTTTAGACATGTATACTCAGACCTTCACGAGCCGAGTTAAGGGTCCATGATTCGTTTAGCACCTCTAGTGGGAACTGGAAAGGAGAAGGCTGACCTATTGACGTGTTTTCTTTACTTTATTTGAATTAAAAAGATTTTAATTTATTTACAAAAATACTTAAAATTATCATTTAGTAAACATGTCATTCTCTTTTCTTTAAATTTATTTTACTTTTTCTTTATACAACAATGAAATTTAATGGATTAATATTTATCATCTCGTAAGAAATGATTTTATCTTTTATATACACTATGTAAGTTCAATATAAGATCCTCTGAAGAGAAAAAAAAATGAGCTTCACATATTTTTTTTATATGTAGAAAATAATATTATTTATTTTTATGTAAATTAAACTATTCAACCGATAACTCATTGATGTCGGATCGTGTAGTTTTTTTTTTGGAAATACAATGAAAACTAAAGCAACATAAAAAAAAAAAAAGCCCTATACTGGGCACAATCTTGGGAGACTAACTCCCCTTAAGTCATTAAGAAGCAATTCCAAACAAGCCGTTGGAGGGACATCCAGCACAATCAGCTGTCCATCCTGATGAGGTGCATGAGTAGCAAGCCAATCAGCAACAAAATTGTCTTCTCTATAAGTATGACTAAGCTGAATAATCCAGTCTCTTTGAAGCATGCTACGAGCTCGGATGATTAAAGCAGAAAGATGATGACTTACGTCACACCTTTTTCTTATAAATTTCAAAGCCACCTTGGAGTCACCCTCCACAAAGACTCTCCTAAATCCCTTATGCCAAGCCAGATCCATACCTGTCAAGAACCCCCAAATTTCCGCTGAAGTAGAAGTACCACTCCCAAGGAATTTTGTAAAACCAGTTAACCAGTTCCCAGCAGCATCCCTTATGACTCCACCACATGCAGTCCTTTGCCCACTGTCTATGCTGGAACCATCCACATTAAGTTTAACATAACCCTCAGAGGGAAAATTCCAGTGAATAAGACGTTCCTCTCTTCTAAGCTTCTGATGACCAATCTTAATAAGGGTTTCATTAGCCAATTGAATATTACCACAAGTATAGGTAATGCGCCTAATGAGACCATACTTCGAGTTGCTAGTTTGATCAAAGATCGCCTTATTTCTTTCCCCCCACAAACACCAAGCTATCACCCCAACATACAAAGGCCAAGTTCGATCAGTTTGAAACAGACCTTTTAATCCTAGATTTGTCTGAATCCATAGGTGAAGATCCATGGAGAAAAAGTCACTACGGTTATCAGAAGGAACCCAATGCTCCCATAATTCCCTGGCACCAGGACAATCTATAATGGCATGTAAACTATCCTCAAGATTATAATGACATCTCAGACACCCTGCATCTGTAGCCATGTGACGATGCACTCTACGAACATTAGTTAAAAGAGAACCTCTGTAGAGAAGCCATATGAATTGTCTAATACGTTCAGGACCAGGCCAAGCCCAAATTACCTTCCAAATCCTATCCTGATGATAATGCGAGGTATCCATGAGATAGTTATAAGCTGATTTCACTGAAAAAACCCCATCTTGGCTACCTGCCCAAATAACACGGTCCTGAGAAGGATCCACTGTAGGAGGGAGCACACTACGAATCTTGTCTAATACTGAAGTAGGAAGAAGGTGCTGAAATAAAGGCCAGTCCCAATTACCATAACAAGTTACAAATTGAGACGTAGACCAATGAGTCATACTAGGAGGAATAGGTTGAACGACCAGAGAAACAAGTTGAGGACATCCTGGCACCCACGAATCCATCCAAAAAGACGTATGAACCCCATCCCCTAAAATGATACGAGAATTCTCTAGAGTTTGAGGCCAATACTTAACAATAGCCTTCCATAAACCAGAATCATTTGCGGAAGCCGAGATACTTGGAATGAGCCTTTCCTCCACCTTATACTTGCTACGAAGGACCCGAACCCATAACGAATTACGATAAGTCATGATTCGGTGACCTAGCTTCATGATAAAAGCCATATTATTCTCTTTAATTTTACGAAAACCAAGCCCCCCTACATTCTTCGGCAAACAGACCGTCTCCCAAGAAACCAGGTGAGCTTTCCTTCGTTCAGAAGTTGATCCCCAAATGAAATTCCTAGTTACACTCTCAATACGATCACACGTACCACTAGGAATAATACAAGTTTGTATAGGATATTGAGGAATTGCAGTAAGAACCGACCTAGCCAAAGTTGATCTTCCTGCCAATGAAAGAGTACGTTGATTCCAGGCATTTAAACGAGCTTGCATCCGATTTAAGATATAGCCAAACGTACTCTTTGTAACACGGCTATGACGAAGAGGAATACCCAAGTATTTACCCAAGTCATTTGTAGGAGAGTAGCCCATCAACTGGCTTAGATTCTGCACTCGGGTATGATTAACGTTTCTGGAGAAGAAGATTTTTGTTTTTTCCTTGCTAACCTTCTCACCAGAGCACCTGCAAAAACAATCAAGAATCTTATTAATAATAACAGCTTGCCCTTCTGTGGCTTCTGTAAAGAGCAGAAGATCATCTGCAAAAAATAGATGGGAAAGCAGTGGTCCCCTTCTATTCAATCTGATAGGCTTCCAAACGTCCTCTTGAACTGCTACATTAATCAAATGAGCAAGTCTTTCCATGCAAAGGATGAAAAGATAAGGAGACAAAGGATCTCCCTGACGAAGACCTTGATTAGGAGAAAATTCTGTCATAGTTGATCCATTCCATAACAAATTCATTGTACATGACGAGACACAACACATGATTAGAGAAATAATATTCTCAGGCAAACCAACATCCACAAGCGTGTCTTTCAGAAACTCCCAAGAAATCTTGTCATA